TTTTTTAATCACCCAATATTGTTCAAATTCTTGCCTCATCGTGCCATCCTTTCTCCTTACATTAGAAGAACCTTAAACTCCCTGAAGAAGTTAGAATTTATTTATGAAACTTATGAAACAGAGGAATATTATATATATTGCAATTCACTGTTAGAGGTAAACATGATTAAAATTAATCAACTATATTTTTTAACATACAATGTTAAATATCACATGATTTTTTAATTTGTTAAACTAAGTTAATAAAGTTATTAGAAGTAAAGTGTCAATGAAATTGGGGGAAATATATTTATTGAGTGCATATTATGTGATAATCATATGCCTATCATCATGTTTAAATTTTCTGGTTAAACCTACATGGCAATCCTGTATGATTTTTATATTTTTCCTTTTACAGATAATTTTGAACTCTCTTGAAAATATTGATAACAATCATAATTTGAGTTAGAATTTTGTAGGTTGGTAAAAAGAAAGATGTATCAGTAAAAAGTAGAAAAACATAGTTTAGGCAATAAATCTACTACATACCACAGTGCCTTCTGGACTCTTAAACCAACTGCACATTTTCCTGGAATGAGCTCTTAGTATGTATAAATGGAATCTGAAACCTGACACATAAGCAAGACCAAACAAATTGTAATTCTTCTGAGGGAGTGACAATATCCTAATATATTTCTTACTTCTGTAGTGAGGTTGCCTTGCAGAAAGCTAAAAAGGAGGTTGTTGAAATAGATGGTAAGTTTGATTGAAACAAATTTCTTCCAGGAAAAGAAAGTAGGACCATGAGTAGATGAAGTGGATATGTTTCAGGGTTTGAAAAAGGTAATTGAATTTTCAAGCCAGACATGTTGGATGTGTAAAAGAGTAGACTTATGGGGAACTAGTATCTTTGACACTGCTCTCTCTCCCACTCAGAAGTAGGGTACGTAACTACCTATTCATAGAAACCCGAGTTTCTCACACTTTTTGGGAAGAAGGAAGGCAACATTGAAAGCCTCAAGTATTTATCACAGGCTGGGAAAAGAAAATCTCTCCTATACTGTATCAGATAAATCAGGCTATTAATAAGCATAACTAAGTACTGGGCCCACCACTTGTGAAAAGCTTGTAGATTCAAATACAGGAGTATTACTGAGTCATGGAGTGCCTGTCTGTATCCATATCTTCCAACTCCTGCTCGGGATCACAGGCTCAAGACTGTTGGCAGCAGTAGAGGCTATAGCACAGCTTCTGATTTGAGTAGTGCAAGACCAGTTGGCGACAGAATGGGAGTGCAGAAATGCATGGGAAATAGCAATTGTAGGCCACTGCGGAAATCTTGCTCTACTGTTTTAAGCAGAACAAAGGTGTAAGGAAAACATTCAGGCTATTAATTTTGCCTGCTGATGATATCTTTAGGTTGGTGGCTCATGGGATCCGTTATGCATGCATATTCAAATGTTAAAATACACAGGGAGAGGTTCTTAGGTTACCCTATTTAAAATAGCAATGCCTTCCCAATGCTCCCCATCTCTTGTGACTGTTATTTTTGTCCATAGCATTTATTTAGCATACAGTTTAGTTTTCTTACATATTTTGTTTATTTTCAGTCTCAGTCCCCTTTAAAATGGGATGTCTATGCTTAGAGATTTGTTTTTGTCTGTTTCACTCTCTGCTATGTCATGTGTGCCTTGCATATAATAGATATTCAATAAATTTTGAAATCCATGCTATGTATTTACCCTCTTTGTCTCCATGGAAGAATACTGTCCCTTTGCATTTACATCAAGAATCATGATCATATCCTTAATCATTGGAAATTATGAATGACAACCAGCAAAAGGAGCTTGTAAGGTCACATGAAGCTTGATTTCTGACTTGATATAACTATACTGATTGTAAGAAAAAGAATAATTGTACCATCTGTGACCTTCTAAACATTTAGTTATAAAACACTTCAAACATAGAATTCCCAAGACCCCATATACCTACCTTCAACCTGAGTTGAACTACTGGTCAATATTGATTCTTTTAAAACCAGCTCACATCTCCTCCTCATCCACTAGATTATTTTAAATAAAGTATTTCCTTATAAATATTTTAGCGTGAATTTCTGTAAGACCTATTGCTTTGAATAGAGTTGTAATACGTTATCAACCTTAAAAATAACAATTATTTTTCACTATCACCAAAGATCATATTAGCATTCAAAATTTCTGTTCTATTTAATACACATTTGTTTACAGATTTTTCTTAATCAAAATACATCATCACGACTCAAAGTTTCATTTTATATGTTACTTAAGTCTTTTATTGTATAGCAACTCCCTTCTTTTTCTTGCAATTTATGTATTGAAGTAGCCGGTCATTTGTTCTGTAGGGTTTTCCAGTTTCCGAATTTTGCCAAATGCATCCTCATGATATCATTTAACATGCTTCTCATCTCCTTGTTTTCTGTAAATTGATAGTAAGATCCAATGTTTGTTCTAATTCAGGTTTGATTTTTAGCAAGAATATTTTATAGGTGGTGGTTGTATTACAAAAGTGAGGTACATAGTATCTGCTTGCCTCTCTTTCAGGAATATTACTAGACATTGATAAACGTTGCCTAGATTAATTATTTTATTAATGGTTTGTACAATAGTGATATATTGTATCGACTTTTTATTTATAAAGTATAGAAAAATACAAAAAAAGTCTTTATTCAGTTATCTTAAGGCACAGTTTATACTGGAAAGGCAGGTTAAATGCTTGATATCAATAGTTTTTCTTTATTTAACAATTTTTAGATTAATGAGGTCTCCTAGCATCCTCCAGAGGTCACCAAAATGAGTACTATGATAACACAGATTTTAAAAATACATATTTAATTCCATTGCAGTTAGTATTCTTATTGCTGCTTAAATGGTGGTCTTTTATATGGCCAGTGGTAGTCTCTTCAAGTTCACTTTATGATACAATTTAGTAGTCTTTAAAATTGTCCTTGCTTTATAACATGACACAATATTCCAGGTTAATTTGGCATAGATTTTTGCCCAAGCCTAGAATCAGTTATTTCTCTAAAGATCCTTGGTTCCTTTAATGGAAATTATATACAGAGCACCCCATGTGGATTTTAGGAATACTCGTTGCTACTGGTATGGTCGTTATTTATATAATGTACTTTCAATGTACTTAGTTTGCAAATAGATATTTTTAGAAAATATATGCAATGGGTGCATATTGATATTTTAAAATTATATTTAGGGCTATAGGATTTTTACTTATTTAATTGTATATTTGCATCTCTTTTCTTCTATAGGCAATCCTGGGTTTTACTGACATTGTCGTAATTGCTTTTGTTCTCCTCGCTCTCCTATGTGTGCATATGTATGTGTATGTGGGTATGTACACACATATATATGCAGTAGAAATAAAGGTGATACAAATGAGAAAAAAAAAATGTGGTACCCAGAGTATATGCTAATAAGGGAGTCAGCCATCATCACTTGCCTTTGGCATAGGCCCCCAAACAGGAAAAGGAGTGGGAAAGCTTTTAGTTGAAAAAGAAGAAGCTTCAGATGTGCTCTATTGGAGGTTGTTCGCATGGGGAAAGTAGGTGTGGGGGGGGCGGGGGGACTGGAAGTAGAGCATCTTATGTGATTGGTTTGGGAAGCATATTTGGCTTTCTCTGGTTGTTCCTGAGTTAGAAGCAGCGTAAAAAACAAGGAAGATGGGTCATTGATCAAGTTTTGACCATTCCTGGCTAATTGCTGCAGAGATTGTGACTTAGACTCTTGAATTATTGGCTACAGAGATTATAATTTGGCTTCCTAGGCTGACTGTTAACAAAGATTGTGGGTAACTGCTATTGTCATACATAGTTTTTCGTGTGTGTGTGTGTGTGTGTGTGTGTGTGTACATTTCAGAAGGAAAATATCAATATTATACTAACAATGTGATTACCGAAAACCATTTTAAGATCTCTTTTGTGACCAAATTTGTCTTTTGAGTATTTTTCATCTGGTTCTAGTGAAATAAATCTATTTTAAAGTCACTCTAAATAACATTTTTTATATTTTAGTTATTTCTTTCTATTTCATATTATTTAACTTTGTTTCATGATTCTCTTAAGCATGTGCATAGTTTGAAAGTCAAATCCAAGCAAGATGTATTTAGAGAAGTCTGGCTTCTGTTGCTATGTATTCTACCTCATTCTATGCTTTCATAGGTAACCATTATTAAAATTAATTTTGTAATTTGAGCTTTTTAAAATGTGTATCTATACATATATACTTCAATATATATGCTTATGTAACATAAATGTTTATATTTATACACAATTTTCATAGATAAGCAGTAACATGAAAAACACTTATTTCTCCCATGGTTTTACACAATATAATCTGAAGCTCATTCCCCAGCAGCCTAAATATATTCTTTATATTTATAAATATAAAGATATTCATTTTTTACAAGCTATATTTTTATTTAGGGTTACAGTTATGAAAGCTCATCCTACTCCAGGATTATTAAGGAATCTGAATTGTGTTAAATTCTGTTATTTTATGCTTAATTTATTTAAAAATGAAATTAGTTTATCATTATAGGCCATAATATTCCCTATATAATATGACCATTTATATACGTTGATGTTTTCCTAATTGTACTTTAATTTTATACATAATCATCTGAAAATTATCAAAATTGGTTTTCCTTTGTGTCTCTTTCTTCTTAGTTTAGGATGGGTCCTGGAGGAATTGTAAGATAATTGATTGGTTGACCTACATGTGCAGTTGAGGGAGTTTTAAAGATTCTTTTCTGCTTACTACAAAAAAGTCTCCTGAGATTCAGAACTTTAGACACATGCCATCATTTAATTTATCTTTCAGTTTTAAGTGTCACATAAAGTTCAAAAAACAGATTATTGTGTCATTAAACTTAGGTCTAAGATGTTTTATCTTCCTAATGGGATAACACAGAGAATCTGTTTTGGAGTTTGATCTATAACCTTGTATAACGTACTTTATATTTTCGTTTAGGCAGTTTGGAAGGGCTTTATTTTGCGAAAGAAACTGACAACAGCTCTAGAAGCTATTAAGAATGATGAATCTGATGAAGAATACAGAGAAATAGATCTAGAGGATTTTGCATTTAATGAGGTAAGTACCAACTACAGTATATAAATATTTTTCTTAAAATAGTTTAGCATACTATTTTGAAGCCAAACCAGTTTCTAAGGTTTTTATCCTATTCACATTGTTACAGATCTTTTTCAAATAACACTTGAGAAAGTGTCCTACTACTTTTCCTAATATCATCTTCATTTATCCTACATGCTTGTATAATGTGCAAAGGCAGCAGTAAAATATTTACAAGTGTGTCTTTGTGCCTGTCAATCATACTCTCCAGAGGTTAATACCTTATTTAACTACAATACAGTTACCAAAATTAGGGAATTAACATTGATGCAATACTATGATCTAATCAACCTTATCAAATTTGTGAGTTGTTCTACTAATGCTCTATATTTAGTCTGAGAGCTCATCCAGAATAAATTGCATTTAGTTGTCATTTTTCCTTTAGTTTCCTTTGCAATGGAACAGTTCTTGATCTTTTCACTGTATTTTACAAACTTAATACTTTAAACAATTACTAAAAAATTATTTTGTAGAATATCTCTGAATTTGTGTTTGTTATAGTTTCTTCTCATTGTATTCAGGTTATGCTTTTTTGGCAAGAATACAACAGAGGTGGTATTGCGTTCTTCTCAATGTATCATTGGAAGGTGATGAAGTCTCTTAGGACATAAAATTATCCTAAACTGCATTTGGCTTAGCTACCCAATTATAGATGCACTGCCTTAAACCTTTTTTGTAAGTGGATGGGATATAAATTAATATAACTCATATAATATAAAACAGATTTTTACATGATGTAATTACATCATTTAAAAATGCTTATCTTTTATGCTAGACAAAAGTCTATGTCAAATAAACATGAATCATACAACTTTCTCTTTATTATTCTTCATCTACCTATATGGTCATCATTTTTCCCAAGTTCTGCTTATCTTTCTTAAAATCTGTCCCTGAAGTTTACAGTCTGATCATTGTAATCACAGTAGTCTTCTGTAGCAGATGTGTGAATGGAGTTTTAGTTAACTTTTTACAACTCTTAGCCAAGGCTCGTGAGAAGTGAACAAGCATGTGAATGTGATGGTGAGAGAGAAACCCTAGGAAGAGTCAGTGGCTCATCACAACACTGGAATTTCTAAGAGTGTAATAAACTGGGACATGTTGGCATCACCTCCAAAGTAAATGATGGATTGTTGCTTTGTGTAGTTTCTACCACTAAGAAGAATGTGTTGGAAAATCTCTTTAGGTTCTAGAGACTGCATAGATCATACTTGGGAATACTGCTCCAGCTTTAAGAAGGTCCCAGAGCAGGGAAGATCTCTTCAGCAGGCCCAGACTATGTAACAAAAAGGGCATCAAGTGTAGACATTCTGTTACTAAATTATTCAAAAATATGTGTAATGCATTTATTGTATCTTAATGAGCTTCAAGACTCTCTTACTAGATGCCATCTCACAATAACTGGTCAAATTTATTTCTGGCAACTTTCATATGTTGATAGAAAAATGAAATGCGAGTAATATCACCACATTCCCTAACTGCAAGAGGTAAATATTGTCTTATGGTTGCCTGTATGCATATGTGACATGCCAGTGATAATTTTGATATTCAGTTGTATGGTATTTTTTGAATTTCAATTAGGAGACTTGAAATCTATTTTATGTATTTTGTCATTTTTTTCTGTCAAACATAATTTACTGAAAGTCTCCAAATTTCATTGCAATATTGAATTACTAATTTATGGAAATATTTTCAGTAAGACTATGGAGATGAGGCTGTTGTAGAGACAGAACACTATTGTTCACATCTGAATTATTTTCCTAGGCATAAGCATACTTTAATCAAAAAGAAGCCTTTAAAAATTTATCATTGTTCTATTAGGTTAGTTAAATGCTTTTTGGAACATGCTGCTGATTAGCATGCTTCTAAAAATGTCAGCATTAGTTTTTTTTGGTAGACATTTGGATAGTATAATTGTAAAATATACTACTATTTTATATTCTTTATCTCTCAAATCTTAAATAAATTGAATTGTTTGTTTCTTCAAATTCCTTATAAGGTTGGCTATTTATTCTTAGGAAAAACTGTGTTTTTACTTCTATTTAATTAAAAAACCTAGCTCTCATGGAAACAATTTAAATGCTTTTAAGATACACTTATCTCCAAAATCTTTCTAGCATACTTTCAATTTTAAATATATCACTGATGTTTTTCAAAACTGAATTTATCTTACTTTTGAAAAAATTGAGTAAATTGAAGAGTAAATCAAAGCCTTCTTTTCTCACTTCAGTTTTCCACAACAAACTTCAATATGGAAAAGTACTCTTTCATAAGGACTTGTGTTAATGAGAGGTCAGTTTCTGTTCTTTTTGATGTGTTAGTACTGACTGAAGTAAAATATCTGAAACTTTTTGGAATATCTACTGTAGCGAGAAACCATGAAGATATTGCTCATAGTGGTCTTGTACATATTTTTACTTAGATTTGTTCCTAAGTATTTATATAAATATAAGTTATTTTTGTATATTGACTCATATTCAACCACTTTGCTGAAATCACTTATTTATTTTAATAGCTTATCTGTCAAATCTTTTGTATATACTATATACACAATCGTATCACCTGAGAATAACAGTTTTATCTTTTTTTTCTGGTTCTTATACCTGTTATTTATTTTGCTTGCTTTATTATCCTAATTAATACTTCCATTACAATGTTAAATAGTGGTGATGTTAGCAAACGTCTTTTTCTATTTCCTTGTCTCAGGGTGAAAGCTTTCAATATTTCACCACTAAGTTGTTTCCTATACATTTCTTACAGAAACACTATATGTTTTAAGGAAGTTAGCCTTCTTAAGTATCTTAGAGATTAAGATGCTTCTGCTGCTGCTGCTGATGATGGTGACTCTATATATGATTTGGATTTTTACTTTTTAATGCATCTCACATTGACTTTCAAACATTAAACCTTGTATTTCTGTAATAAACTGACTTAGCTATAATGCACTATGTTTTTTACATATTTCTAGCTTGTATTTGCTATTATTTTGTTTAGGATTTTCCAATTTTATTAAAAAAAGAAACTGACTTCATAAATTATATTTCTTATATAGCTCCAGCTTTGGGTTTTAGTATCATACTATGTTGGCCTTATACATTTGGTTGGGAAGTATTTCCTCTGTTTCTGTTTTCTAGGAGAGTTTGATATAAGATTGAGGTTCTTGGTTAAAATTTTGTCTCAACATACAATATATTTTTTGGAAATGTTCCTTGTGAACGTAAAAGGAGTATGTATTCTGTAGGTAAGCATATTGTTATTAAAATCTCAATTACATTGAATTTATTGTGTTTTTTTAAAAGTCTTCTGTATCCTAAGTAATTTGCAGGAGGGGCATTCTAAAATCTCTTACTGCGATGGTGGACTTTTCTAAATTGGCTTTTACTTCTGTCAAATTTGGCCTCATACTTTGAGGCTGTGTTTTTGGGGCATACACATTTTGAGGCTAGCTCAATCATGTGTCACTTACCCTTCTATCATAATATTTTAATCTTGAACAATAATTTCCCTCTTTAATTAATTGTTTAAGAGCTATTTCCTTTAATATTTTTATACTTACAGCATCTTTCTTTTGGATACTATTTTCATAATATATATCTTTCTAACCATTTTCATTAACTTTCCTGTGATTTCAAATTTAAAATGTATCTTATAATAGCATAGAGTTGGGTTTTACTTATTTTTATGTTTTATTCTGGCATTATTTTATTATTTAGATTATTTTAATTGATTTTAATTTATAATATAATTTGTTTTATATAGTTTCCATTTGTTTTCTGTTTGTTCTATGTTGATTTTTTCCCTTTTTTATTACCCTCTTGCATTTATCAGGTTTTCTTGTTGTTCTATTTTTTCCCTTTATTAGTTAGTTAATTAATTCTGTTTTGTTTTTTTCATACACTTCATTCTTTTCTGCATTAACATGTTTCCATCTAGGATCATTTTCTTTTGCCTGAAAGACCCTCTTTGATAATTACTTTAGTATGGGTCAGTTTTTGATTACTTGAAAATTCATTTCTTTTTAAAATATTTTGGAAGGGTATCTTCTCTAAGTATAGAATTCTAGTTAGGCTTTCAATTTGTAAATATACCATTTTGTTAGTATTTCTGGCTTCCATAGTTCCTGTGGAAAAGTCAGTATTGTCTTAATTTTTCTTCTCTGAAGATATTGGCTTCTTATTCCATCTCCCAGGTAACTTTTACGGTTGATTTTCTATTTGTTTTTCAACCTGGGTATGATTTTCTTTATTTGCCTTACTTGGAGTTGGTGAGGTCATATAGCTCCTTGAATCTGCAGTAAATATCTTTCATCGGTTTTGAAAATCTATTGTCCAAATTTATTTCAAATATTTGTTCTTTGATGTTTGAAGTATATACACATTGTAAAATGCATAAATCTAGCTAATAGCATATGCATTACCTCACACATTATTTTTATAGTGAGAATACATTCACTCTCTTAACATTTTTCAAGAACACAGTATATTGTTAGCTATAGTCATCATGTTACATAACAAATCTTTTGAACTTATTCCTTCTATCTAAGGGAAATTTTGTATCCTGTGATAAAGATCTCCTGCAACCTCCACCACCACCCCTACTGACCCCCTCAACCCCTGGTAATCATCATTCTATTCTCTACTTCTTTGAGATCAAGTTTCTTAGATTCCCTGTCTGGGCTCATGAGGCATTCTCTTTCTCATTCCTGGCTTATCTCACTTAACATAATATCCTCTATGTTCATTCATGTTGTTGCAAATGATTAGGTTCCCATCTTTTTTGGATGAATAATGTTCCATGGTGTGTTTTCTTTGTTAATTTATCCATTAATGGACACAGGTTCATTCCGTGATTTGGTTATTGTGAATAATGCTACAGTGAGGACAATGATACAGGTATCTCTTTGACATACTGTTTTTATTGCCTTTTGGTATAGCAAAAGTAGTGGAATTGCTGGGCCATATTAC